ATATCAAAAATACAACTCAGGAAATTTTGTGTATGTTATGTCTCCTTTCCCATTTTTATGGCGGCAAATATTTCTTTTTATTCCGAGACTGTTGATAAATTGAACCACTGGGAAGAATGTGGCCCGGTGGCCTGGTGGCTGAAGCTCTCGCTTCACACACGGAGGGCCCGGGTTCGATTCCCGGCGGGTGGAAACATTTCGACACGTTTCCTTACACCTATTGTCCTGTTCACCTAGCAGCAAATAGGTACCTGGGTGTTAGTGGACTGGTGTGGGTGGCATCCTGGGGGACAAGATTAAGGACCACAATGGAAATAAGTTAGACAGTCCTCGATGACGCACTGACTTTCTTGGGTTATCCTGGGTGGCTAACCCTCCGGGGTTAAAAATCCGAACGAAATCTCTTATCACCGTTCATCTCTGTAATGGACCGATGACGTCACTGTGAGGACGATACTTGTCCTCAGTAAACATACCCAGGTGTTGTACATGTCTCATTTACCAATTTATCTGTTCTCTGAACCATTTATATATATTTCTGAGACTGCCAGAGGGAGGAGCACACTGCCAGAGGGAGGAGCACACTGCCAGAGGGAGGAGCACACTGCCAGAGGGAGGAGCACACTGCCAGAGGGAGGAGCACACTGCCAGAGGGAGGAGCACACTGCCAGAGGGAGGGACGCACTGCCAGAGGGAGGAGCACACTGCCAGAGGGAGGAGCACACTGCCAGAGGGAGGAGCACACTGCCAGAGGGAGGAGCACACTGCCAGAGGGAGGGACGCACTGCCAGAGGGAGGAGCACACTGCCAGAGGGAGGAGCACACTGCCAGAGGGAGGGACGCACTGCCAGAGGGAGGAGCACACTGCCAGAGGGAGGAGCACACTGCCAGAGGGAGGAGCACACTGCCAGAGGGAGGAGCACACTGCCAGAGGGAGGGACGCACTGCCAGAGGGAGGAGCACACTGCCAGAGGGAGGGACGCACTGCCAGAGGGAGGAGCACACTGCCAGAGGGAGGGACGCACTGCCAGAGGGAGGAGCACACTGCCAGAGGGAGGAGCACACTGCCAGAGGGAGGAGCACACTGCCAGAGGGAGGGACACACTGCCAGAGGGAGGAGCACACTGTCAGAGGGAGGAGCACACTGCCAGAGGGAGGAGCACACTGCCAGAGGGAGGAGCACACTGCCAGAGGGAGGAGCACACTGCCAGAAGGAGGGGCACACTGCCAGAGGGAGGAGCACACTGCCAGAGGGAGGGGCACACTGCCAGAGGGAGGGACACACTGCCAGAGGGAGGAGCACACTGCCAGAGGGAGGAGCACACTGCCAGAGGGAGGAGCACACTGCCAGAAGGAGAAGCACACTGCCAGAGGGAGGGACACACTGCCAGAGGGAGGAGCACACTGCCAGAGGGAGGGGCACACTGCCAGAGGGAGGGGCACACTGCCAGAGGGAGGAGCACACTGCCAGAGGGAGGAGCACACTGCCAGAAGGAGGAGCACACTGCCAGAGGGAGGAGCACACTGCCAGAGGGAGGGAAACACTGCCAGAGGGAGGAGCACACTGCCAGAGGGAGGGACACACTGCCAGAGGGAGGAGCACACTGCCAGAGGGAATAGCACACTGCCAGAGGGAGGAGCACACTGCCAGAGGGAGGAGCACACTGCCAGAGGGAGGAGCACACTGCCAGAGGGAGGGAAACACTGCCAGAGGGAGGAGCACACTGCCAGAGGGAGGGACACACTGCCAGAGGGAGGAGCACACTGCCAGAGGGAGGAGCACACTGCCAGAGGGAGGAGCACACTGCCAGAAGGAGAAGCACACTGCCAGAGGGAGGGACACACTGCCAGAGGGAGGGAAACACTGCCAGAGGGAGGAGCACACTGCCAGAGGGAGGGACACACTGCCAGAGGAGGAGCACACTGCCAGAGGAATAGCACACTGCCAGAGGGAGGAGCACACTGCCAGAGGGAGGAGCACACTGCCAGAGGGAGGAGCACACTGCCAGAGGGAGGAGCACACTGCCAGAGGGAGGGACACACTGCCAGAGGGAGGGACACACTGCCAGAGGGAGGAGCACACTGCCAGAGGGAGGAGCACACTGCCAGAGGGAGGGACACACTGCCAGAGGGAGGGACACACTGCCAGAGGGAGGAGCACACTGCCAGAGGGAGGAGCACACTGCCAGAGGGAGGAGCACACTGCCAGAGGTAGGAGCACACTGCCAGAGGGAGGAGCACACTGCCAGAGGGAGGAGCACACTGCCAGAGGGAGGAGCACACTGCCAGAGGGAGGAGCACACTGCCAGAGGGAGGAGCACACTGCCAGAGGGAGGAGCACACTGCCAGAGGGAGGGACACACTGCCAGAGGGAGGAGCACACTGCCAGAGGGAGGGACACACTGCCAGAGGGAGGAGCACACTGCCAGAGGGAGGAGCACACTGCCAGAGGGAGGAGCACACTGCCAGAGGGAGGGACACGCTGCCAGAGGGAGGGACACACTGCCAGAGGGAGGAGCACACTGCCAGAGGGAGGAGCACACTGCCAGAGGGAGGAGCACACTGCCAGAGGGAGGGACACACTGCCAGAGGGAGGAGCACACTGCCAGAGGGAGGAGCACACTGCCAGAATGAGGAGCACACTGCCAGAGTGAGGGACACACTGCCAGAGGGAGGGACACACTGCCAGAGGGAGGGACACACTGCCAGAGGGAGGAGCACACTGCCAGAGGGAGGAGCACACTGCCAGAGGGAGGAGCACACTGCCAGAGGGAGGAGCACACTGCCAGAGGGAGGAGCACACTGCCAGAGGGAGGAGCACACTGCCAGAGGGAGGGACACACTGCCAGAGGGAGGAACACACTGCCAGAGGGAGGAGCACACTGCCAGGGGGAGGGACACACTGCCAGAGGGAGGCACACACTGCCAGAGGGAGGAGCACACTGCCAGAGGGAGGAGCACACTGCCAGAGGGAGGAGCACACTGCCAGAGGGAGAGGGACACTGCCAGAGGGAGGGACACACTGCCAGAGGGAGGAGCGCACTGCCAGAGGGAGGGACACACTGCCAGAGGGAGGAGCGCACTGCCAGAGGGAGGAGCGCACTGCCAGAGGGAGGAGCACACTGCCAGAGGGAGGAGCACACTGCCAGAGGGAGGGGCACACTGCCAGAGGGAGGGACACACTGCCAGAGGGAGGAACACACTGCCAGAGGGAGGGACACACTGCCAGAGGGAGGAGCACACTGCCAGAGGGAGGGGCACACTGCCAGAGGGAGGAGCACACTGCCAGAGGGAGGAGCACACTGCCAGAGGGAGGAGCACACTGCCAGAGGGAGGAGCACACTGCCAGAGGGAGGAGCACACTGCCAGAGAAAGGAGCACACTGCCAGAGGGAGGAGCACACTGCCAGAAGGAGGGACACACTGCCAGAGGGAGGGACACACTGCCAGAGGGAGGGACACACTACCAGAGGGAGGCGCACACTGCCATAGGGAGGTACACACTACCAGAGGGAGGAGCACACTGCCAGAGGGAGGGACACACTGCCAGAGGGAGGAGCACACTGCCAGAGGGAGGGACACACTGCCAGAGGGAGGGACACACTTCCAGAGGGAGGAGCACACTGCCAGAGGGAGGGACACACTGCCAGAGGGAGGAGCACACTGCCAGAGGGAAGGACATACTGCCAGAGGGAGGGACACACTGCCAGAGGGAGGGACACACTTCCAGAGGGAGGGACACACTTCCAGAGGGAGGAGCACACTGCCAGAGGGAGGGACACACTGCCAGAGGGAGGGACACACTGCCAGAGGGAGGGACACACTTCCAGAGGGAGGAGCACACTGCCAGAGGGAGGGACACACTGCCAGAGGGAGGAGCACACTGCCAGAGGGAAGGACATACTGCCAGAGGGAGGGACACACTGCCAGAGGGAGGGACACACTTCCAGAGGGAGGGACACACTGCCAGAGGGAGGAGCACACTGCCAGAGGGAGGGACACACTGCCAGAGGGAGGGACACACTGCCAGAGGGAGGGACACACTTCCAGAGGGAGGAGCACACTGCCAGAGGGAGGGACACACTGCCAGAGGGAGGAGCACACTGCCAGAGGGAAGGACATACTGCCAGAGGGAGGGACACACTGCCAGAGGGAGGGACACACTTCCAGAGGGAGGAGCACACTGCCAGAGGGAGGGACACACTGCCAGAGGGAGGAGCACACTGCCAGAGGGAAGGACATACTGCCAGAGGGAGGGACACACTGCCAGAGGGAGGGACACACTTCCAGAGGGAGGGACACACTTCCAGAGGGAGGAGCACACTGCCAAGGGGAAGGACATACTGCCAGAGGAGGGACACACTGCCAGAGGGAGGGACACACTTCCAGAGGGAGGAGCACACTGCCAGAGGGAGGGACACACTGCCAGAGGGAGGAGCACACTGCCAGAGGGAAGGACATACTGCCAGAGGGAGGGACACACTGCCAGAGGGAGGGACACACTTCCAGAGGCTGCAGGCCAAGTCAAAGAGAAATATTGTGAAAATGCCCTGTGTATACCTGCTCTCCTGGTGGGAGACAAAGAAATGCTAGGGAGGGAAGGACCCTAGGCATCACCCTGGTGCCTGGCCAGCACTAGGCATCACCCTGGTGCCTGGCCAGCACTAGGCATCACCCTGGTGCCTGGCCAGTAGGATTCTGCCCTAGGTGTCTCCCTCACTGTAACCAGATCAATGACATTTCAGTGAACTCTGGTTATCTAATTCTTATTTAACCAGACTCGCGCACACAGGGTAACCTAAGATGACTCACGAAATCGTAATGACACGATTGCAAACAAACCATACCACGGGTGGGGTTTGATCCCGCGGTCAGTGAGTCTCAAAACTCCAGACCGTCGCGTTAGCCACTGGGCCAGCCAGCTGCAATATTTATCTTATTTTGTACCGACAAAGATTTTAGTTTTATGGTGTTATTGTACTTGAAAATCTTATTTTACAGAGAGCAGTGATGTGGACGACAGTGGCGCTGGTTGTGACCGTCTTGGTCTTCATCTTCTACAAGAGTAGCCACAGACCTTCCAACTTTCCCCCAGGTGAGTGAGAAGTAACACTAGTGGTCGTCGAAGTAAGTATTTAGTATTAAAAGTGGGAATAGTGGTAGAAGCAGTGGTAATCTTATGTGGTAATAGTGGTAGTATGTAGTAGTAAGAGTGGTGTTGCGAAAGTTTGTAACGAGGCTTGTTCCGAAGTTAAGAGGTATGTTCTACGAGGAAAGGTTATGGGAAATAGACCTGACGACACTGGAAGACGAGAGGGATAGGGGAAACATGAGAACGACATATAAAATACTGAGAGGAATTTACAAGGTGGACAGGACCAGGATATTTCAGAGATGGTACACAGCAACAAGGGGTCATAACTGAATGTTGAAGACTCAAATGAGTCACAGGGATGTTAGGAAGTATTTCTTCAGTCATAGAGTTGTCAGGAAGTGGAATAGTCTGGGAAATGATGTAGTGCAGGCAGGATCCATACATAGGTTTAAGAAGAGTTATGATAAAGCTCATGGAGCAGGGAGAGAGTGGACCTAGTGGAGATCAGTGAAGAAGAGGAACCAGTAGCTATGAATCGACCCCTGCAACCACGATTAGGCGAGTACACACACACACACACACACACACACACACACACACACACACACACACACACACACACACACACACACACACACACACACCGAGTCAAAGTGACCCAAGAAAAGAGGAAACACTTTCACCATCATTCACTTCATTATTATCATGGCAGAGGTGCACCAATACTACACTTCAAAAGTGTAGATATCTTCACCCGTCCTTCAGAGTGCACTGTACTTCCCACCTCCAGGACTCCTTCAGAGTGCACTGTACTTCCCACCTCCAGGACTCCTTCAGAGTGCACTGTACTTCCCACCTCCAGGACTCCTTCAGAGTGCACTGTACTTCCCACCTCCAGGACTCCTTCAGAGTGCACTGTACTTCCCACCTCCAGGACTCCTTCAGAGTGCAGACACTGTACTTCCCACCTCCAGGACTCCTTCAGAGTGCAGACACTGTACTTACCACCTCCAGGACTCCTTCAGAGTGCAGACACTGTACTTCCCACCTCCAGGACTCCTTCAGAGTGCAGACACTGTACTTACCACCTCCAGGACTCCTTCAGAGTGCAGACACTGTACTTACCACCTCCAGGACTCCTTCAGAGTGCAGACACTGTACTTCCCACCTCCAGGACTCCTTCAGAGTGCAGACACTGTACTTCCCACCTCCAGGACTCCTTCAGAGTGCACTGTACTTCCCACCTCCAGGACTCCTTCAGAGTGCAGACACTGTACTTACCACCTCCAGGACTCCTTCAGAGTGCAGACACTGTACTTACCACCTCCAGGACTCCTTCAGAGTGCAGACACTGTACTTACCACCTCCAGGACTCCTTCAGAGTGCAGACACTGTACTTCCCACCTCCAGGACTCCTTCAGAGTGCAGACACTGTACTTCCCACCTCCAGGACTCCTTCAGAGTGCAGACACTGTACTTCCCACCTCCAGGACTCCTTCAGAGTGCAGACACTGTACTTCCCACCTCCAGGACTCAAGTCCGGCTAACCGGTTTCCGTGAATCCCTTCATAAATGTTACCTTGCTCACACTCCAACAGCACGCCAAGTCATAAAAACCACTTACCTCAACTCACCTCTATCTAGCACTCTCACAAATGCTTGCTGGAAGTCGAAGCCCCTCGTGCACAAAACCTTTTACCCCCCTTCCAACCTTTCCTAGGACGACCCGTGCCCCACCTTTCTTCCATTGCAGATTGATATGCCCTCTAAGTCATCCTCTTGTGTTCCAACCTCTCTAAATGTTCGAACTACCTCGACAACCCCTCCTCAGCCCTTTGGATAGTACTTTTAGTAACCCCTCGCCTTCTACTCTCCAAGCTATGAATTCTCTGCATAATATTCACACCACACGTTGCCCTGAGACATATCTCCACTGCCTCCAGCCTTCTCCTTGTTGCAACATTCATCACTCATGCTTCACACCCATATAAGAACATTGATACCACTATTCTCTCATACATTCCCTTCTCTGCTTCCATGACTAACGTTCTTAGTCTCCACAGACTTCACCACTCGCCTTTTTTCCCTCGTCAATTCTATGGTTTACCTCGTCTTTCATATACTCATCTGCTGACAGTTAAGCTCCGAAATATCTGAACACCTTCACTTTCTCCAGAAAGTTAAATCTATAAAGCAAAAGATTCTAAACTATGTTGTTCCCTGTCGTGTTGCATCACCTATTATAATTGAAAGTATCCTTTCAACATCTACATTGTGAACTTTGGTCATGATAATGAGGACATCTAAACTCTACACTCCAGTGTTTTGGTTTCCTGTATGATTTATCTCATGGTTGATCAACACAAAAATATTTCTTGCAACAATGGAGTGTTTTGTATCGTAATTTTTGTAATCATTTGATCAGTAAGGTGACCAGAAAACCTAAAATATTTGAAAAAAAAAGCCTTGGACACTTGTGTTATACAAACTGCGTAAATGTGTTTATACCAGGAGTGTATCTGGAGGGTGTTTCGGGGGTCAGCGCCCCCGCTGCCTGGTCCATGACTGTCGCAGTGCATCAGGATTTTATCAATCAGGCTGTTACTGCTGGCCGCACGTCACGTTCCAATGAGTACAGGTCAAGGGACTTCAGCTGTTCCCAGTAATTGAGGTGCTTTAACGTACTTATACGTCAGTGAAAATTCTCTGTACATTCTCCAGGTCAGCAGTTTCACGTACCTTGAAAAGGGCCGTTAGTGTACAGCAGCATTCCAGGCCAGAGAGAATAAGCGACTTGAAGAGAATCATCATAAACCTGACATCCCTAATTTTGAAGGTTCTCGTTATCCATCCTACCATTTTGAAATATTATTATTTTAATTATTACATTTATTTAGTATGTTTTAAGTACATACATGTCCATTACAGGTCCACTGGTAATACCATTCCTGGGTCACGTGGTGTCTATAATGATCCACAGTCTGCCAGTAGCAATGATGAAACTAGCAAAAAATATGGTAATATAGTCAGCTTTAAGAGCCTCGGAGAATGGTAAGTTAACAAATGATGTTGATTTATTTATAATATTGAAAATAACTGTAACAATAACTACGAAAATTATCAAATTATTTTTACTATTATTGTTGCTATACGAGAAAGAAGATGTAGATTCTAGTGTTGTAATCACTGGTCACTGTGTGTGGATACAGTGAACAGGCGGGACCAGGAGCTATGAATCGACCCTTGCACGCCACAAATAGGCGAGTATATAAGAACAACACTGGTCTTTGCAACACAGAGGTGATGCTGGAAGAATGTAGAGAAAGACACAAGCCAGAGAACAAGTTGCTGTCTGGGCGACGTTTCTCTCCCTCAGCTGAGCAAAATGTCGAGTGAAAACCTTCCTAAGTTTATTCAGACGTAGGTACACATAAATACAGTTACATAAATTATCATACATAGCAACACACACATGTAGATCACCTGTGTCTTCGGATACCCTCCAGGTGTCACGGAGGATCGAACCCCCTTCAATTTCCCCTAAAGTGTTACCATGGTGTTATGTGTTGTGTTTACAGGACTGTGTTAATATCTGATACTGAGCTGATGAGGACAACTATGGCCGACTCTGCCTATGCTGACCGTATGCAACTCATGCTCTTTAACATCAGGGACCAGATACTCTTGGGCAAGAAGTGGACTCAACTTGGTGAGTACCCGTTAAAAATATCTTTATTTAGTACATATACAAGGTATACAGACCATAGCTGACATCAATGACATACTACTACATAGAAAGCCGCTTGTTAGGCAGAGCATTTCCCGCAAATTAGGTCAGTTTTGTCCCCAGGATGCCACCCACACCAGTCCACTAACACCCAGGATGTGGCTGTGTGTGAGGGTGTCAGTATGTGGGTTTGTGTGTGAGTGACAGTATGTGGAAGAATATTAAAGAGTCAGTATGTGGGAATACATGTGAGGGTGTAGGTACTCGGGAATCCATAAGAAAAGTCAGTATATGGGAGTTCCTGAGGTAGTATAGAGACGCTTGTGATACACTACATCCAAGGTCGTGCAACACATGCTATCTGCAGTTGATCTTCCAATGCTACCCTTTTTAAGATTATTCTAAATAACCCCTTCGTCTGCGTCTTGTTCAGGCATCATCGGCACCAACGGGGAGGTGTGGAAGAACCAGCGTCGCTTCACCTTGAGGACTTTGAAAGACCTCGGCTTCGGGAGACGCAGTATCGAGCCCATCATTACAAGTGAACTTGAGGAGCTGGTGGAGTACTTCACACAAAGACAAGGACAAAAGCTTAATATTGCGGTGAGATTTTGATCTTAAATAAATTCAGATTAAGTTTACTTTCTTTGACTAAATCGTGATTTATCGGGAATTGTAGTTTCCGGTGTCATGGCAGAATTTAGAAAGAAAAAAGCCTACAGAACAAAAGTGCTTTTTTATAAATGAAATCTGCTCTGTATAACCCTTGTAGGTTTAGCGCTTCTTTTTAATTATAATAATGCGAAGCAAATAAGACAATAAGGAATATGATAAAAGCACTTTTTTAATTATGTGTTGAATTTTGTCGACTGTTCAGCTGCCTCCCACCATACATAAGGGGGATTACCAATAGACCCCTGGTTCTCTTCAAGACCCCCTGCCTGTCAAGACCCCCTGGCTGTCAAGACCCCCTGGCTGTCAAGACCCCCTGGCTGTCAAGACCCCCTGGCTATCTTCAAGACCCCCTGGCTATCTTCAAGACCCCCTGGCTGTCTTCAAGACCCCCTGGCTATCTTCAAGACCCCCTGGCTATCTTCAAGACCCCCTGGCTGTCAAGACCCCCTGCCTGTCAAGACCCTCTGCCTGTCAAGACCCCCTGGCTCTCTTCAAGATCCCCTGGCTCTGTTCAGAGCCCCCTGGCTGTCTTCAAGACCCCCTGGCTGTCTTCAAGACCCCCTGGCTGTCAAGACCCCCTGGCTATCTTCAAGACCCCCTGGCTATCTTCAAGACCCCTTGGCTATCTTCAAGACCCCCTGGCTATCTTCAAGACCCCCTGGCTATCTTCAAGACCCCCTGGCTATCTTCAAGACCCCCTGGCTATCTTCAAGACCCCCTGGCTATCTTCAAGACCCCCTGGCTATCTTCAAGACCCCCTGGCTGTCTTCAAGACCCCCTGGCTATCTTCAAGACCCCCTGGCTATCTTCAACACCCCCTGGCTGTCTTCAAGACCCCCTGGCTATCTTCAAGACCCCCTGGCTATCTTCAAGACCCCCTGGCTATCTTCAAGACCCCCTGGCTATCTTCAAGACCCCCTGGCTATCTTCAAGACCCCCTGGCTATCTTCAAGACCCCCTGGCTATCTTCAAGAAGGCCCTGGACAGGCACCTAAAGTCAGTACCTGACCTGCCGGGCTGTGGTTCCTACGTCGGTTTACGTGCGGCCAACAATAACAGCCTGATCATGGACCGGGCCGCGGGGGCGTTGACCCCCGAAACCGTCTCCACGTATAGTTCAGGTATAAGTATGTTGGGAAAGTCAGCGTTAAAACGTCAGTTAGTTTTTGCCCCTTTTTTCTTTATTCTAAGTTAAATCAATACGTAGATAAATGGTTCAGAGAACCGACAACTTGATAAATTAAACATATGCAACACTTGGGTATCGTCGCCACACAGTGGCTTCATCAGTCGTATACAATGAAGAATGGTCAGGATCAGAAGGCGTTTGAGGTAATCAGTCCCTCACCCTGGAGTCGACGTAATCAGTCCATCAGTCTTGAATGGGCCATCAACAGAAGTGTTGCAAAGACAGTGACAGTACTGCTTTTACACTGTGCGCTTGCAATAGTTTTGTCAAGAACAAGTGAAAGTCGTCGGGCAGTATCCTGTGTTATTGGACAATCTGGCTGAATTCCATTTGGCACAAATTAGGTATTTTCCCGGCGCGTCGTTGTGATATTTGCTGGTGTTGGCTGAGCAGTTGATGCTGGCACCGCCGGTGTTGTCACTGCTGGTGTTGTCACCGCTGGTATTGTCACCGCTGGTGTTGTCACTGCTGGTAGTGGTGTTACCGCTGTTGTTGTCATGGCTAGTGTTAAAACTGCATATAATTTCTCATTACCAATGTAAAGATCATCAGTTTCACAATAACTATTACTATTTCCTACAACAATAACATCCAGTTACCATACAACAATGTAACAGTGCACGAACCAGAAATTTACCCAGTGGGACGCCTCACTGCTCTTCCTCTGATACGCTAATATTGTGTGACACACCTATATATATATCTCTCTCCTTCCTGTGTTTGCAGCTGTTGTTCAACAGAAGTGTTGTGAACGTCCTCTGGGCCATGGTAATAGGTAAGAGGTTCTCACACAATGATGCTCGGCTACACGACCTGGTAGACAAGGTGCAGAATATTGCCCAAAGCTTCAATATCTTCCATCCTGCCTTACAGTAAGAATAATTTACTTTGAAATTTTATGTGACTCGGTAAGTTAGTGTTTATTTAAGTGCAAGGAGTGATGGGGGCTCGATCCTCTGTCCAGTAGTCGCCAGAGACACACTGGTTAATTGGTCTGAGAAGTAAGAATGGTTACATTGTGTGTGTGCTCACCTCACCTAGTTGTGGTTGGAGGGGTCGATTGACAGCTCCTGGCCCCGCCTCTTCACTGGCCGCTACTAGGTCACTCTTCCTGCTCCATGAGCTTTATCATACCTCTTCTTAAAACTATGTATGAATCCTGCCTCCACTACATCACTTCCCAGACTATTCCACTTCCTGACAACTCTGTGACTGAAGAAATACTTCCTGACATCCCTGTGATTCATCCGAGTCTTCAACTTCCAACTGTGACCCCTTATTGCTATGTTCCATCTCTGGAACATCTTGCCTCTGTCCACCTTGTTGATTCCTCTCAGTATTTTATATGTCGTTATCATATCTCCCCCATCTCTCCTGTCCTCCAGTGTCATCATGTCGATTATATGGGTATACTATGAAAGATACGGTACGATGTTGCACAATCATCTCTCCTGGCACTGTATCATTCATTCATCTACCCTGGAGTTTACCTGGAGAGAGTTTCGGGGGTCAACGCCCCCGCGGCCCGGTCTGTGACCAGGCCTCCTGGTGGATCAGAGCCTGATCAACCAGGCTGTTGCTGCTGGCTGCACGCAAACCAACGTACGAGCCACAGCCCGGCTGATCAGGAACTGACTTTAGGTGCTTGTCCAGTGCCAGCTTGAAGACTGCCAGGGGTCTGTTGGTAATCCCCCTTATGTTGTGCATGGGGATCAACAACATTCAATCACCTAAGACCTCTAATAACCCAGCAAAAGGCAGCAGTCAGAATAACAAATTCCCTCTCCCGACAGCATACTCTACCAATATTCAAAAGTCTAAATCTGCTCACCATTAAGAACATAAATACTTATTCAAGCGCCTACTACATACACAGAACAATACACTCAGACATAAACCCTCCACTCAAACTTCTCCTCACCAAAATTAACAGGACACACAATCATAACACAAGACACGGATCTCTTTTTGATGTACCCCGTGTCCATATTACACTTTGTAAAAACTCTATGCACATAAAGGGCCCCAAAATTTGTAATTCATTACCAATATATACTGAAGTAACCCGGTCTGAACACCTGGAGTTTACCTGGAGAGAGTTCCGGGGGTCAACGCCCCCGCGGCCCGGTCTGTGACCAGGCCTTTTTAAAAACCACTTACTCACCCTAAACTTAATACTCAGTATTTAATATTTAACTTTACCCCAAAATTTCCCAAATCTTAATGCCCAATGTTCATACATTATTAATCCTACTTTGTAGCATAAATTCCTACCCAAAACAATACTGTGTTAGACCCAACTGTAACATTCTCGTACTATAAACCACTCTCAACATCTCAATGTTATATTCCCATAGTTTAATTTCAATATTCATTATTGAAATTTGTGGTGAAAGGTTTTGAAAACCGACAAGTTGAAGAATTGAGTCACTTGTGCAACACATGGGAATCTTTACTGAAGAAACGTTTCGCCACACAGTGGCTTCATCAGTCCAATACAAAGTAGAAATGGGTAAGGAGAGGAGGAGTTTGAGGTAATCAGTCCCTCTTTCACGGTGGTTGTTTTGCATATTTTTAAAATCACCTGTTTACTGTGATCTTATTGCATATATATATATATATATATATATATATATATATATATATATATATATATATATATATATATATATATATAAAACCTATGTTTGAGGATATTCTACTAATACATATGTAATGGTCTTTCAGGTTTCCCTGGATTCACAAAGTCTTCCCAAATTTAAAGGTGATCAAGGACATTGAAAGATGTATGAAGGATCTATTAGCTTTTATTGAGGTAAAGTATATGTACACGTGTGTGTGTGTGTGTGTGTATGTATGTATGTGTTGGGAGGGTTCCGTGGAGATATAATGGTTAGAGATAAACACACTTGTTGGGTTGTAACACTTATATTAGCAGAGTGTGTGAGGGGAGTGGCACAGCCTGCCTGTAACCACCTGTAGGTCTATCAGTGAACTGAGGGAGAGGCAGAGTGCCCGACACTCACATGTGGCATCACGTGACGTCACACATGCTAGCCACTGGGCCTAGCTGAGCAGGGAGCCTAAGTGTATACATGGATGATATGATCTACAATATACTACACAAGCATATGTATAGGGAATTCAGTAGCTATACTGACAGCTTGTTCATGTTACGTATGTCGTCTCAACATAACATACTCTACAGGCTGAACAGGAAGGTGGCTCTGGGCTAATTCTATACAATAGCAAAGACATAGATAACTTGAAACTAATCACAGAAATGGTTATGAGATATATTTAGTTGAATGGACAACATTGGAATGAATGTTATATTAATGGATGGTGGTTTACGTAATGGATAGTATCGTAATATATTACGAATTAAACGAACAAATCATAGTATAATAAAAGATAAAATTGATCAATTGAACTGTATTCATGCACTCTACGGATTCTGAGGGAGAATATATATTTACAAAGATGAAAGTAATTAACAGCAAAGGCAGACCTGGTGCGCACAGATCATTACTGCTAAATCTCAGAATTCGGAGGGAATGTAAACACACACAAAAAAATTGTTTTTGAAAACTGATCAGCTAATAATAAAACACACAAGGGATCTGTTCTTTCTTACTGGAGGAACGAACAAACTCGGTGGAGTATTGTTTACTCTGATGTTGATTTCAGTCTAGTAATTATACTGGAGGAATGAACAAACTCGGTGGAGTATTGTTTACTCTGATGTTGATTTCAGTCTAGTAATTATAAGTTAATATTAAGGTTGCACTAAATGCTCTATATAACCGAGAAGTTTTCTACAGAACAGTTTACACATGTTAATTACTTCAATGTTAATTATATCCTCTACTTCACTTTATACAAGTTAAATTGTTTGTTTGTTCATCATCTCAACCAGAGAGAACTTGTGTTTGTTAATATTCATTGTTATAGGAATAACGAAGAGCTAAACCCTTAAGGGTTATCGCTGTGCTGTTGTGAAAGTTCTGTCTCAGTGTTTTAGTGGTAAATTTGTGAATGACGGGGAAGCACTTAACCCACAGGGGTCGTCAAACAGCAAATGAAGAATGGCAGGTAATCACCATTAATCCAACAAGAAATAAAAAAGTAATTTCAATTCCTTGGATCAAGAACTCATTGCCCATTTAAAGGGAGAGCTCTTCAAGGGTCTTTGTAGCAAATACATCTTTATCTATGCTAAACACACTGCTATCACTAACAGCCTGGTTGGTTACAGATGATACCTGAAGTAACATACGGAGGACCGAGCCTACAACACTCGTCGTACTGAAAGACAATTTGTAATTTGCAGCCCACACTAAATTTCTTATTATCAAGAAGGCCTGAGAGGCAACGTTCTCGCCGCACACACTGAGTGTCCTTGGTTCAGTCCCCGGCACGGGTGGAAGCATTGGGTGTTTCCTTACACCTGCCGTCACTGTTCACCTAGAAAGTAGGTACCTGGGTGTTAGTCGCCTGGTGTGGGTGGCATCCTGGGGGAAAAGATGGAAAAAAAGACAAGTTTTTGACACACTTTCTTGGGTTATCCTGGGTTATCCTGGGTTATCCTGGGTTATCCTGGGTTAACCTGGGTTATCCTGGGTTATCCTGGGTGGCTAACACACCCTATCCTGGGTTATCCTGGGTAATCCTGGGTGGCTAACACTCCCTACCCTGGGTTATCCTGGGTGGCTAACACTTCCTACCCTGGGTTATCCTGTGTGGCTAACACTTCCTACCCTGGGTTATCCTGTGTGGCTAACACACCCTACCCTGGGTTATCCTGGGTGGCTAACACTTCCTACCCTGGGATATCCTGGGTGGCTAACACTTCCTACCCTGGGTTATCCTGTGTGGCTAACACTCCCTACCCTGGGTTATCCTGTGTGGCTAACACTTCCTACCCTGGGTTATCCTGTGTGGCTAAGACTCCCTACCCTGGGTTATCCTGTGTGGCTAACACTCCCTACCCTGGGTTATCCTGGGTGGCTAACACACCCTACCCTGGGTTATCCTGTGTGGCTAACACTTCCTACCCTGGGTTATCCTGGGTGGCTAACACACCCTACCCTGGGTTATCCTGTGTGGCTAACACTCCCTACCCTGGGTTATCCTGGGTGGCTAACACACCCTACCCTGGGTTATCCTGGGTGGCTAACACTTCCTACCCTGGGATATCCTGGGTGGCTAACACTTCCTACCCTGGGTTATCCTGTGTGGCTAACACTTCCTACCCTGGGTTATCCTGGGTGGCTAACACTCCCTACCCTCGGTTATCCTGGGTGGCTAACACTTCCTACCCTGGGTTATCCTGGGTGGCTAACACTTCCTACCCTGGGTTATCCTGGGTGGCTAACACTTCCTACCCTGGGTTTCCGGGGTGCTAACACTCCCTACCCTGGGTTATCCTGGGTGGCTAACACTCCCTACCCTCGGTTATCCTGGGTGGCTAACACTTCCTACCCTGGGTTATCCTGGGTGGCTAACACTTCCTACCCTGGGTTATCCTGGGTGGCTAACACTTCCTACCCTGGGTTATCCTGGGTGGCTAACACTTCCTACCCTGGGTTATCCTGGGTGGCTAACACACCCTACCCTGGGTTATCCTGGGCGTCTAACACTTCCTACCCTGGGTTATCCTGTGTGGCTAACACTTCCTACCCTGGGTTATCCTGGGTGGCTAACACTTCCTACCCTGGGTTATCCTGGGTGGCTAACACACCCTACCCTGGGTTATCATGGGTGGATAACACTCCCTACCCTGGGTGGCTAACACTTCCTACCCTGGGTTATCCTGGGTGGCTAACACTCCCTACCCTGGGTTATCCTGGGTGGCTAACACTCCCTACCCTGGGTTATCCTGGGTGGCTAACACACCCTACCCTGGGTGGCTAACACTCCCTATCCTGGGTTATCCTGGGTGGCTAACACTCCCTACCCTGGGTTATCCTGGGTGGCTAACACTCCCTACCCTGGGTTATCCTGGGTGGCTAACACACCCTACCCTGGTTATCCTGGGTGGCTAACACACCCAAACCCGGGGTTATCCTAGGTGGCTAACACACCCTACCCTGGGTTATCCTAGGTGGCTAACACTCCCTACCCGGGTTACCCCGGGGGTGGCTAACACACCCTACCCTGGGTTATCCTGGTGGCTAACACTCCCTACCCTGGGTTATCCTGGGTGGCTAACACACCCTACCCTGGGTTATCCTAGGTGGCTAACACACCCTACCCTGGGTTATCCTAGGTGGCTAACACTCCCTACCCTGGGTTATCCTGGGTGGCTAACACACCCTACCCTGGGTTATCCTGGGTGGCTAACACTCCCTACCCTGGGTTATCCTGGGTGGCTAACACTCCCTACCCTGGGTTATCCTGGGTGGCTAACACACCCTACCCTGGGTTATCCTGGGTGGCTAACACACCCTACCCTGGGTTATCCTAGGTGGCTAACACACCCTACCCTGGGTTATCCTAGGTGGCTAACACTCCCTACCCTGGATTATCCTGGGTGGCTAACACTCCCTACCCTGGATTATCCTGGGTGGCTAACACTCCCTACCCTGGGTTAATCCTGGGTGGCTAACACACCCTACCCGGGGTTATCCTAGGTGGCTAACATTTCCCTACCCTGGATTATCCTGGGTGGCTAACACTCCCTACCCTGGATTATCCTGGGTGGCTAACACTCCCTACCCTGGGTTATCCTGGGTGGCTAACACTCCCTACCCTGGGTTATCCTGTGTGGCTAACACTCCCTACCCTGGATTATCCTGGGTGGCTAACACACCCTTCCCTGGGTTATCCTGGGTTGCTAACACTCCCTAACCTGGATTATCCTGGGTGGCTAACACACCCTACCCTGGGTTATCCTGTGTGGCTAACACTTCCTACCCTGGGTTATCCTGGGTGGCTAACACTCCCTACCCTGGGTTATCCTGGGTGGCTAACACTTCCTACCCTGGGTTATCCTGTGTGGCTAACACTTCCTACCCTGGGTTATCCTGGGTGGCTAACACACCCTACCCTGGGTTATCCTGGGCGTCTAACACTTCCTACCCTGGGTTATCCTGGGTGGCTAACACTTCCTACCCTGGGTTATCCTGTGTGGCTAACACTTCCTACCCTGGGTTATCCTGGGTGGCTAATACTTCCTACCCTGGGTTATCCTGTGTGGCTAACACTCCCTACCCTGGGTTATCCTGGGTGGCTAACCCTTCCTACCCTGGGTTATCCTGTGTGGCTAACACTTCCTACCCTGGGTTATCCTGGGTGGCTAACACTCCCTACCCTGGATTATCCTGGGTGGCTAACACACCCTACCCTGGGTTATCCTGTGTGGCTAACACTTCCTACCCTGGGTTATCCTGGGTGGCTAACACTCCCTACCCTGGGTTATCCTGGGTGGCTAACACTTCCTACCCTGGGTTATCCTGGGTGGCTAACACTTCCTACCCTGGGTTATCCTGTGTGGCTAACACTTCCTACCCTGGGTTATCCTGTGTGGCTAACACACCCTACCCTGGGTTATCCTGGGCGTCTAACACTTCATACCCTGGGTTATCCTGGGTGGCTAACACTTCCTACCCTGGGTTATCCTGTGTGGCTAACACTTCCTACCCTGGGTTATCCTGGGTGGCTAATACTTCCTACCCTGGGTTATCCTGTGTGGCTAACACTCCCTACCCTGGGTTATTCTGTGTGGCTAACACTCCCTACCCTGGGTTATCCTGGGTGGCTAACCCTTCCTACCCTGGGTTATCCTGTGTGGCTAACACTCCCTACCCTGGGTTATCCTGTGTGGCTAACACTCCCTACCCTTGGTTATCCTGTGTGGCTAACACTCCCTACCCTGGGTTATCCTGGGTGGCTAACACACCTTACCCTCGGTTATCCTGGGCGTCTAACACTTCCTACCCTGGGTTATCCTGGGTGGCTAACACTTCCTACCCTGGGTTATCCTGTGTGGCTAACACTTCCTACCCTGGGTTATCCTGTGTGGCTAAGACTTCCTACCCTGGGTTATCCTGTGTGGCTAAGACTCCCTACCCTGGGTTATCCTAGGTGGCTAACACTCCCTACCCTGGGTTATCCTAGGTGGCTAACACTCCCTACCCTGGGTTATCCTAGGTGGCTAACACACCCTACCCTGGGTTATCCTAGGTGGCTAACACTCCCTACCCTGGATTATCCTGGGTGGCTAACACTCCCTACCCTGGATTATCCTGGGTGGCTAACACTCCCTACCCTGGATTATCCTGGGTGGCTAACACTCCCTACCCTGGGTTATCCTGGGTGGCTAACACTCCCTACCCTGGATTATCCTGGGTGGCTAACACACCCTTCCCTGGGTTATCCTGGGTTGCTAACACTCCCTACCCTGGATTATCCTGGGTGGCTAACCCTTCCTACCCTGGGTTATCCTGTGTGGCTAACACTTCCTAACCTGGGTTATCCTGGGTGGCTAACACTCCCTACCCTGGGTTATCCTGTGTGGCTAACACTCCCTACCCTGGGTTATCCTGTGTGGCTAACACTCCCTACCCTGGGTTATCCTGGGTGGCTAACACTTCCTTCCCTGGGTTATCCTTTGTGGCTAACACTTCCTACCCTGGGTTATCCTGTGTGGCTAACACTCCCTACCCTGGGTTATCCTGTGTGGCTAAGACTCCCTGCCCTGGGTTATCCTGTGTGGCTAACACTCTCTACCCTGGGTTATCCTGGGTGGCTAACACACCCTACCCTGAGTTATCCTGGGCGTCTAACACTTCCTACCCTGGGTTATCCTGGGTGGCTAACACTTCCTTCCCTGGGTTATCCTTTGTGGCTAACACTTCCTACCCTGGGTTATCCTGTGTGGCTAACACTCCCTACCCTGGGTTATCCTGTGTGGCTAAGACTCCCTGCCCTGGGTTATCCTGTGTGGCTAACACTCCCTACCCTGGGTTATCCTGTGTGGCTAACACTCCCTACCCTGGGTTATCCTGTGTGGCTAAGACTCCCTACCCTGGGTTATCCTGGGTGGCTAACACTCCCTATCCTGGGTTATCCTGTGTGGCTAAGACTCCCTACCCTGGGTTATCCTGGGTGGCTAACACTCCCTATCCTGGGTTATCCTGTGTGGCTAAGACTCCCTACCCTGGGTTATCCTGGGTGGCTAACACTCCCTACCCTGGGTTATCCTGTGTGGCTAACACTCCCTACCCTGGGTTATCTTGGGTGGCTAACACTCCCTACCCTGGGTTATCCTGGGTGGCTAACACTCCCTATCCTGGGTTATCCTGTGTGGCTAACACTCCCTACCCTGGGTTATCTTGGGTGGCTAACACTCCCTACCCTGGGTTATCTTGGGTGGCTAAGACTCCCTACCCTGGGTTATCTTAGGTGGCTAAGACTCCCTACCCTGGGTTATCTTGGGTGGCTAAGACTCCCTACCCTGGGTTATCTTGGGTGGCTAAGACTCCCTACCCTGGGTTATTTTGGGGTGGCTAAGACTCCCTACCCTGGGTTATCTTGGGTGGCTAAGACTCCCTACCCGGGGGTTATCCTGTGTGGCTAACACTCCCTACCCTGGGTTATCTTGGGTGGCTAAGACTCCCTACCCTGGGTTATCTTGGGTGGCTAAGACTCCCTACCCTGGGTTATCTTGGGTGGCTAAGACTCCCTACCCTGGGTTATCTTGGGTGGCTAAGACTCCCTACCCTGGGTTTATCTTGGGGGGCTAAGACTCCCTACCCTGGTTATCTTGGGTGGCTAAGACTCCCTACCCTGGGTTATCTTGGGTGGCTAAGACTCCCTACCCTGGGTTATCTTGGGTGGCTAAGACTCCCTACCCTGGGTTATCCTGTGTGGCTAACACTCCCTACCCTGGGTTATCTTGGGTGGCTAAGACTCCCTACCCTGGGTTATCTTGGGTGGCTAAGACTCCCTACCCTGGGTTATCTTGGGTGGCTAAGACTCCCTACCCTGGGTTATCTTGGGTGGCTAAGACTCCCTACCCTGGGTTATCTTGGGTGGCTAAGACTCCCTACCCTGGGTTATCTTGGGTGGCTAAGACTCCCTACCCTGGGTTATCTTGGGTGGCTAAGACTCCCTACCCTGGGTTATTTTGGGGTGGCTAAGACTCCCTACCCTGGGTTATCTTGGGTGGCTAAGACTCCCTACCCTGGGTTATCTTGGGTGGCTAAGACTCCCTACCCTGGGTTATCTTGGGTGGCTAACTCTCCGGAATTAAGAATTCTTCCAAAATCTTAAGTATTGACTCAGTATCCGGAACAATAATTTGAGTCTGAGAATCAGTGACGATCTGAGGTGTTCGCTCTGTGACGTGTCATGATATATCTTATTAATGAGAATAACATACAATATTAAGTCAACTGTAAACCTAAATACAGATGTTCTCTTGCTAATTCTTTTGGGATCTAGTTTTTAGGGTTTTTATGCATCTTGTGTTGTTCACAGGATGAATATTGTGGTGGGCAGTTAACTAGTCACTTCGGAGACAAAATCTAATCTAATCTCTGTGATTTATACTATGCACTGTACCCGTGTGGGCCATACAGCACAAGAAGAGATAAGATTTTGTTTGGATTTTTAACCCCGGAGGGTTAGCCATCCAAGATAACCCAAAAAGTCAGTGTGTCATCGAGGGACTGTCAGTCTTATTTCCACTATGGTCCTTAAATGTTTCCCCCAGGATGCCACCCACACCAGTCGACTAACACCCAGGTACCTACTTACTTGGTGAACAGGACAACTGGTATAAGGAAACGCGTCGAAATTTTTCCACCCCTGCGTGGAATCGAACTCGGACCCTCAGCGTGTGTAGCGAGAGCTTTGTTAGCCAAGCTACGGGGCCCAGGGGGGATAGTAACTACTACCCTGCATCTGTTAATTAGAGTACCCTCATCTTTATAGGAGGAGACGGCACAGCACAAGAAGGAGACAGGTGGTGCTGATGACCTCAGCAGTTACCTGGGTGCTTACCAGCTGGAGATGAAGGAAGCTCAACGGGAGGGCAGAGAGACGCCGCTGACTCGTGAGTGTTATTACAATAACTGAGTTAAGCTCCTTGTTCACCTGTCAAAACTTTGGGACCCAGTCCCTGGACCCATTAGGTATCTCTGTAATCCTTTTGACTAGCGTCCACACCATGGGTCTGGGCTGCATAATAAACAGTAACAGAGTTATGCTGGTGGTCCGATCTTTAATATCTAGCCATCATATATTTTAGTTTTAGATTTGCCTTGGTCACAACAGTTACTAATTCCACCCTTAATGCATTCCACTCGTCAACTGATCTATTGGAGAAGAAAACTATTGGTCTAACAGCCTTCGTGTGCAATATATAATGTACATAGTTTCAATTATTGTACATTGGAAAGAGTCTCTTAATAATAATAATAATAATAATAATAATAATAATAATAATAATAATCTTTATTTCTACAAGTACATGTACAAGGTATACAGACCATAGCTGACATCAATGACAATGTGAACCACGATTAATTGGTAATGCTGGTAGCGGGGAGTAAATGATACATCGGAAGTTTCTTTATTTGCAATGTACTGGTGGGTACACAGGCTTGTGTGTTGTGCCCATGGCCCGGGAAGGCCATCCCACGAGAGGAGAGAGCTACTAGGCCTTGTGTCTTCCTGCTAGGCCGCTGTGTGAGGGTGAGCGAGTGTGGGACCAGCTTCCCACAAACTTGGACAGGTCCAGAGGGCAGCACCTGAGTGGCGCGAAATATGAACTAAGTTGGCAGACAGCATGACTGTCTGTGCAGACAGTACAGGCTGTCTACATATGCTCGGCCACCTACCGCGCGTCGTCCCGACGCGACAATACTGGTGGTAAAAAAAACTCGGTCTCTCTCTCGTAGGAACAGGGCACAGAACACAAAATAAAGAACACATATATACATATGGACATGGAAAAAAAAACTTCCTGCAGGGAGGGAAGAAAAAAACATGTGGGGTGTGCTAAATATCGTGGTCATAGGCAGTGAGCATCGAAGGGCATCACTGCACGCCTTCCTGTGTCTGGACAGATACTGCAACACAGGAGACATCGCTGCGGCTGAGCTGTGACATAACAGGTTACGGTCTCCTCTATAACGGTGAAGCAGTCATCGTAGGAGTCGCTGCAGGTTTCACTCAACCTGGGGCACGACATGCTGGTGCCCTCGAGTGAGGCGTCGACAAAACTCGGCAACTGGGCAGGACTTCTGGCAAGCGACTCAGGAGGACACTTCTCGACTGGTACTGTCGCTGGGCTGTCACTGCCAGCGAGCGTGGAGCGAGTTATGGAGCGAGTCGTGGCAGAGACGACTGGGCGAAACATCTGGGAGTCGTAACATCATACACCAGACTGCAGTGAGCGAGCTAGCAGTCAAAGTGACATCATCTTCGTGCAGGCTGCTCACTGAAGCTTGAGACACGAGGCTGACACAGTGCCTGCTGACAGGGTTAACTGCGGCTTGACGAGTGTCATTCTCTCGGCAGTTGGAGTTATAGCACAGGTTAGTCTAAGCATCCCCAGACTTGTTTCTCTACATATAACTGCACTCTGAAGGTCTGGAGGTGAAGTGAAATAAATCTCGATGGGAATTGTAGCAGGTACGATTCTGCAGAACATCACGAGCGACGAGCATAAGAGCTTTTTGCACAAGGGGCCTCATACGCTCAGGGGCTGACTGATATCAGCTGTCAAACATGCTGGTCACACTGGGTGACTAACACAATGGTGCTACTCAGGTCTGGCTCAAGACCACTGGACACATGGGAAACTTCCCACCCCACCCACTTTCATGTAAAAAATTAATTTTCGTTTTTAAAACATTGGTGGGAAAGTGGTGGTCTCAGCAGTTTTTTTCCCCGGAAAGAGAGGAAAGAAGAGGAAATAAAGTCATTTTTAAACTTTTAAACCCTATACAAAAAGGGCATCCGTCTCTCAACGAGTTATCCTGATGTCTTTGGTTTTGGGCCGTTTGAGCACCCAAGACAAAGGTAAAAAGCGGACCTAGCCGAAATTTGCCGAATTTCTTCGGGGAATTTTGTAATGGCGTCCCAGTAAACCCAAAGCTACAGCGTCCCCGCTGTTTCTAAAGCCCGTGTTCAGCGTCACTTGTATTTTGGGCTGTTGGTTTTTTTCGGGCTCACCCCAAAAGCTGTTTCAGAAAAGGCCAGAGGGGGAGTTTTTTTGTGGTGATTTCTTATCCGGGGTGTTCCTTGTGTTTTTTGGGTGGGAGAGGAGGGAGAGGGGAAATGGCCCCTTTCCTTGCCCCACCCCGCTCGCCCTACTTTAAAACCTCACCAGCCTCCACCACACTTTCCCCCACTTTGTACTCACTCCTCTGCTGTGTTTTTTGCTGTTTTTCGTTGTGAATTCATTGCCAGGGGCTGTTTTATCCGGTCCCAAGGGGCCCCCTCGAAGCCATGCGGTAATTTAGCGAGTGTGGGAAACCCGCTTCCCAAGACCTTTGGCAGGGCCCCGGGGGGGGGGGGGCAGACCGAGTGGGGGCGAAATATGAAAATTTAAACCCGGCAGACAGCCCTTTTCTGTCTGTGCAGACAATACAGGCTTGGGCTTTCCCAAAAATTTCTATATAGAAAATCCCTTTTTTATGCAGAACATTTAGAACAAATTGGTTAATTTTTTCCCCCGGGTGTGACTCACCCCCAGTCCAACCCAACACCCAGGGGAAATGACCCACACCCGTCCACAAAACCCAGGATTTTGACCCACACCAGTCCCCTAACACCCAGGAAAAGTTTACCCCCACAGTCCATAAAAACCCAGGGGACCTAATTCTGGGTAGTTTCCCTAATGGAAACCTAGTGTACCATAAATGTACGGGGGTAGTGGTAATAGGGAGAAAATGTATTTACGGGTTGAAAATGGTTGAAAAAACCCCCGAGTTGGAAAAAAAGAGTTTGGGCAGCGGTCGCCAGTACCCACACAAGCAAAAAACATTTTTATTAAAACCCTTTTTATCAAATTGCTTGCCTAGGAAATACTTTAAATGTTTCCAGAAGCAAAATTTGTGTTGGTGGGAAACAAGGGGTTTAGCAGCTGTTTTGATGTTTGAAAAACATGTTTTGGGGGTTTTTTCCTTAAGACGTCTGTTGTCCCCGTTCACCTGCAAAATTAGGTACCTGGGGGGTTAGTCGATGATGGGGGGGTTTGCACCCTTAAGAACAAGATTAATATACGTTACCCATTATACATGACCAGGGGCTTTCTGTATAATATGTCATTGATGTCAGCTATGGTCTGTATAAGTTGTATCATGTACTTGTAGAAAAAAAAATATTTTAAATTCTCGTCCCCCTTTTCCCACACTTAAAGGGCCAAAACTTCTGGAGCTGTTTGGGGCCGGGAGTGAGACCACTTCAACGACCATGTCCTGGGCCATCTACCTGATGGCGTGCAACCCCGAAGTTCAGCGTCGCGTGCAGGAGGAACTCGACCAAGTGGTGGGACGTGACAACCTACCCACTTTCGAGCATATGGACAGGTAACATTACTAAGAATTAGACATCAGGGTATCTTTACATGAAAACGTTTCGCCATCCAGTGGCTTTATCAGTTCACATAGACATAATCTGAAGACTGTAGAAATAAATACAGAAAGCAGTGTAATTTGAAGTAACCAGGTAATATTATGTTATTCATGGAGATGTGCTAAACCCGTTTGGGTCATTCATCACCTGGGAAATGGGAAGTAATCAGCTTTGATTAAAGAGAGAAGGAAGGAGGTAACCCCATTTAAGTGAATTAAGACCCTCTCACCAGTATCAAGCCTCGACCCCCCCTCCCTCGCTAGGAACATGTTATTTCTACAGATATATAATTTTGGGTAAAATAATGTTGAATTTAAAAATCGGTGCACAGCTTCAAGATTACCACGATCATACCTGCCCTGCCAGGCTGTGAGAGTAACTCAAGTGTGGCGTGCACCGAGTATATTACATGTTATTCTGCTTGTATTACACCTCGGTGCCCTGGTGGCTAAAGCTCTCGCTTCACACGCAGAGGGCCCGGGTTCGATTACCAGCGGGGTGGAAACATTTCGACGTGTTTCCTTACACCTGTTGTCCCGTTCACCTAGCAGCAAATAGGTACCTGGGTGTTAGTCGACTGGTGTGGGTCGCATCCTGGGGGACAAGATTGAGGACCACAATGGAAATAAGTTAGACAGTCCTCGATGACGCACTGACTTTCTTGGGTTATCCTGGGTGGCTAACCCTCCAGGGTTAAAAATCCGAAGAAAATCTTATCTTACCCATTGTGGGATGCCCTCTCGACCAGTGAATTAGCAAGTCAGAGTATAGCAGTCCTGGGGCCCCACTGCTATACTTGTTACTAGTTCAAAGGTCACCAACAGCCTGACACGACAACCCGGCTTGTTCAGAACTGTTATTATTATATTCACCTGTATGACTAAAACCATAAGGATCATACACCACCACCTGGGAAATGGTAGATAATCATGATTGATCTCAGAAAGGGAAGGAGAGCTCCACTCCCTTCATCAAAGAGCTCTCCGACCCTTTTCCAAAGAACACCCTATCTTAGCCCCCCCCCCCGTCCGTTAAATTGACAAGCAAGAGATAATGAAAGGTTGTTTGTGTTCAGTCTGCCGTACACCACCGCTACCATCTATGAAGTGCAGAGAATTGGTAACATCCTTCCTGTAGGAGTGCCTCGTCAGACCTCCAGGGACGTCACACTCCAGGGGTACCACATACCTAAAGGTAAAATATATGATTAGTATTGATGTGGAACAGCACTAAACCCATAGGAGTCATAAAGTGCTTTATGTGTGTGTGTGTATGTACATTTGTATGTGTGTGTGTGTACGTACGTTCCTCTCTTGCCTTCATTACTCAGCTGGTTGTTCGTCTTTGTTCGATTCCTCATCGCTCAAATTTTCTGTTCCTGTTCACTTTGTCAATTCCTCTCAGTATTTTACACGTTATCATATTCCTCCGAGTCCTCCTGTCTTCCAGTGCCATCACATTGAGTTCCCTTATCTTCTCCTCGTAGGACATACGCCTTAGCTCCGGTACTAGTCTTGCTACAAAACTCTGCACTTTCTCCAATTTCTTGATGTGTTTGACCAGGTGTGGGTTCCATACTGGTGCTGCATACTCCAATATGGGTCTGACGTCCACGGTGTACAGTAGTGTGAATGACTCCTTAGATGTTGAAAAGCTATTTTTAGATTAGCCAGACGCGCATTTGCCGTAGCAGTTATTTGGTAATGTGCACCTCGGGTGATATGTTCGGTATGGTACCCCCCAAGATCCTTCTCCTTGAATAAAGTTTTCAGCCTTTGACCCCGAGCTGTACTTCGTCTGTGGGCTGCTTTGTCCTTCCCTAAGCTTCATAACTTTGTACTTCATGGGATTAAATTCCAGGACCCATTTGACAGACCAGCCTTGCAGCCTGTCCAGATCCCTTTGTAGCTTTTCCTGACCCACGTCCGCTTGTATTCTTCTCATTAATTTCATGTAGTCTGTGAACGGGGATGCTTCTGACTATCCCTTGTCACTTATGCCCACTCTGACACCTCGTCACTCGTTATTTCCTTCCGTTCAGGTATTCCATTTTTTTCGTTGGGTTTATCAGGACCACTGACAGCATAAGCTGTAACGAGCCCGACTTCTCGATGGCACGAGGAAGATTTGTTGCCCAAAGCTGAGCGATGAAACAAAATGAACAAAAGTTTCCTTTGTAAACAAGGATAGTAACTTAAAGTATCTGATTAGATCCAGTGGACCCCTTGCTGAGCCCCGGCAGAGCGGGACGCTCACGCACTTACCTGAGTTCAGTAACCGGCTTCCCACCGACGACCGTTAAACAATTATCCGCAGAACGGAAAAATGGAGCTGGCTAAAAGTAAGCCGATGAACAGGTGCACCTTCTGTAAAGTGCCCGGCGGGCAAAATAGATGAGGACAAGTGTCCCAGAGAGAACGGGGGAAATTTATCACGATATTCAGGCGAGAAAGAGGCGTCCACACCCGACGAAGGCTGGCACAGATTTCTTCAGATATTCCCCGATCCATTGTAGTGGTTTTCCTGTTATTCCTACCTGTTCCTCTAGCTTTTGTACCAGTCTCTTGTTCCGTACTGTGTCAAAAACCTTCTGACACAGGGTTTTCCATTCCGTGCAATTGTTATATATGAATCCATTTCTTTCTAGGTGCTCCACTACTCTTCTGATAATCTTCTCCATAACTTTACATACTCTACATGCCAATGACACTGGTCTGTTGTTTAATGCTGCCTGTCTGTCTCCTTTCTTAAAAATTGGGATTACATTTGCTCTCTTCTATACCTCCGACAGTTGCATGTGTTGATACTTGTTGCTGGTGGCACACTGCCTCTGCTAACAGGGAACTTCTTCCACTCCTCCCTTGTTGTGTGTACTGTGTCTAATGCTCGCTGGTGCACTCTGCCTCTTTGACTTTGGTTTGCTGGAAGCCTTTCTGTCCTCTGAGAATACCTCTTACATACTTCCTGGTCATTCCTTGTGAGCTCCCGAACCTTCCTTCTTCAGCCTGATTACCTGGTCCCTGACTATTGTTTTCCTCCTAATGTGGGTTTTATAACAACTTTGGGTCGGATTTGGCTTTCAATGATACGTTATTTTTCAAATTACCGTTGAGTTTTTTCTTATCCATGCATACTAGTTTCTGGCACTTTCGACTCTGACCCTTTTTTTCCTGAGTTTTTTGCCTTCTGTACCTTTTCCATGCTCTAGCCACATTTGGCATTGTCCTTACACCTGGGTTTCCCCATGCACTCCCCTATTTGTGATTACAGGGTCGATACAACCCCTGGTCCCGTCCTTCGCGGGTTTGTGTAGAAACAATAGTCCTGAAATATCTATTTTAATCCCTAAAAACCTGCATTGAAATTTGTTTTGTTGTGGGGGAAACCCTAAAGTTATTTCCCTGACCCTGGATACCGGAGGTTTTCCGGGGATCAACGCCCCCGCGGCCCGGCCCAGACCGGGCCCCCCGAGGGATAGGGCCTGATCAACTAGGTGTTACTGGGGCCCACGAGCCAACGTACGAGCCAACCCCGGCTGTCCCGGCACTGATTTAGGTATCTGCCCGTTCTTTGAAGGCCCCGGGGGTTTATTGGAAATTTCCCCCTAATGCTTGATGGGAGGTGTTAAACGTTTTGGGCCCTTGCACTTATGGTGTTTTCTTTAGTGCACCAATGGCGCCCTATTTTTATTGGGGGCATTTTGGACGCCTGCCCAGTTTTTATTTGTAGGAGTGATTTCTGTGTGCAGATTTGGGCCCCTTTCCCTTTCAAGATTTTCCAAGTGTAGATTTGAATCTCTCCCTCTGCGTTCCCCAAAAAGTAACGTCAAGTGCTTCCAAGCATTCCCGCTTTTAAACCTTTTAGAGAATAAAAATTTGAATTTGAATTTGAATTTGACAGAAATTGTCGTGAGTAAAAGGGTCTTGTACACTCTTAGATCTGCGATTTCCCTGTTTGAATGGAGTCTTCAGCAGTATTCCAGCCTAGAGACACTTCAAGGGGCTCCTTGGCCGTAGGTGAAGAGGCTCTGGTTGAGGAATTGGACCTATCCGGTCTTCCTTCCTCAGACCCCCCGACCTAATTACCCCCCAATCTCCCCTCCTCTATCCCTACTCCTCCCCATCACTCCCTTTTTCTTTCCTCCTCTCCTCCACACTCCTCCCTTTTGCCCTTCCTCTTTGTCCTTTGGATTTCTACCACAGGCGCTCTAGTTCTAGGTTAGGAGAAAGGACACCGGGGGTCCATCCATTCCGTTTGAGGTTTCTTGGCGGTGGCGTAGTTTGCGTGGAATCTGATTGCCTAGGGATGTCCCGATCCCTCTACCGGTATCCCGGAGTAGCTTGGGTGTCTTTTGGGGACGGGTGTGTGCTCTGGAAGCCCACTTTCGGGATTCCGCGGGTTGGGCGGGGGGGTGGTCGGCTGTAAGGGAGTGTATGCTTTGTGGCCGGATATCCGGCGCCCTCTCTTTTGTCCACCGAGGTAGCTCGGCAGATGTGAGGTTGCTATCCCAGATTGCCTGGTTACAGGCATGAAGGGTAGGTAGGTATGGCACGGGTTCCATGACTGATCGCGTACTAGCACGGTGATCGAGTCCTCTTGCGCGCATAAGGGAGGGGAGTTTTCTGGCCTTTCATCCCTCCTTAGGGGGGGGGGAACTATCCCTCCACGAGTCCCCCCTTTTTTTTTCTTTTTTTTATTTTTTATTTTCTTTTCTCATCTTTCTTTTTTTTTCACTTAAAAACAAAGAAAGAAGTAACCTAACCCATGGCAGCCCTAGTCATGAACCTGGTACCCCCGGGCCCCTTATTGATACCGCACACCCGCGTTCATGACCCCCCACGCCATTCGTCTTTGGACCACTCTTCTAGACATTCCTCATGCCCTGTACTATTGCCGGTGCTGTTTCCTCACCCGCTTCAGGTACTGAGGCCTCGCAACTGAACTCCTTCGATTTATCAGACCTTCGCTCTCCTATGACTATGCTTCCGGCTCTCCATCCTACGATGCGGCAATTTTCAAATCGCTCCGACCCGCTTTCCACGTCGGACCAAACTCTGGTCCCACGACCTAAACGTCAAAGGTACAATTCACCTCGCTGATCGATAACTTCTCCACCTTCACCTTCTCGTTCTTCTCACAGAAACGACTCGACACGTCCTTCACTACCTTTCACGCTCAGTTTCAACTGAAACAGTGACTAAATTCTTCATTTGCGACCAACTTCCCTCTATGCCTATCTTTCGGACCATAGTATTGGCAAGGCCACTCCTACGCCATAGTTGGTTAATATATTTCTTTTCATGCTTCTTAAGAGCGGTACGCGCATCAATTCCGCTACAGAATGATACCCAGGCTCGGCGAGTCTCTCTCGTCTTACCCATATAGATAACTGTTCCTGTCACCTTGAAAAAACATCATTCCTCCAATCTTGTAGTGGTACCGTTATTTGCCCCAAACCATAGTTCAACAAAATTTCCAGAACATTGTGGCACGACTTTCTAGTAATACATGCTGGTAACCCAGATCTTCCCAACTCAAGGTAGACACTTACTGTTCTCCTGCCAGTGGGCGGAGACGATACCCTAGCAATGTGGCTCGTTTAAACTTTTTGACAGCCGGAGAAGAACTCACCATCCTATCGTTTTTTATATAGCAGGACATCGGTTACAAGTTACGCAGGTGATCCCATACACCACAACCAGTGTAGAAATTGCTGGCGGAATTCTGGCCATCAGCGAAATATTGCAGATCTATCGCGATGCCCTGTCTGTGAGTGCCGACATGAACCATTCTAATACGTCTTGACATATAGATCTCCTCTAGCCTTAACTGTCATGAGGCTCACCCTTCACGTACTCTCGCCGTTGTCAGGTCTATTAAACGAGCGGGGGGAAATCCGTTACCTCAACTGAAGACAGAAGGTCTCCCTTATGACCATGGCAGTTTCTAATATCCGCCTCACCACAGGCGAGATCCCACGTGTTTCTTATTTCCGTGTTTTCAAAACGTCCCCCCACTTCTTGGTTATCCCATCTTCTACACCCACTCTGTGGTTACCCTCTCCCTATAATCATCCACTGTATCTAATCCTTTTGCTGTCCTCGGCCTCAGACGTCCCTACTTCATAGCCTCAGTCTAATCTCGCTTCTTCGAGTTCTCTCTTACAGCCTCTGTATCGACGGACCTCGTAAAGA